GTCACCACTAGTCGCCGCTGGATCAGTCGATCTTCTTGGTTGGGGATCAAAAGATGAGGAATGTCGTTGCATAGCACGCCTGAAAACAAGGCCCGGATCCAGAATCAGTGGAAGAACTGTGTAGTGCTTCGCATGTTTAATGCCTCAAACATTGAAAATGAAAACATGAATACTTAGTGTGAAATGCAATTGAAAATTGTTTTGTTCTATATTTCCAAATAAGGATATCAGAAAACGCAAATTGTAGGATGACATTGTCATTTGGCGTATACTCCTCAACGCCTGTGTCGAAGCAGTGAACGTCCCATTGCTTATACAAATTCACGTGTAACTGTGTGACAGTCATGTTGGGCACACTGCTCGAAACTTGGGTGCTCGGATCAATGAACACATCCCATAGTGGCTCCGCAAACAGATGGAAAACGCGGCAATCGCACGCGGTGAATAGAGAAGCAAAGTTGCCTCCGCAGTTACGAGACATTTAACGATCACCGGTCACCAAGTGAACCCAGATGAGTCATTCACAGTCCTTATGCGCAGTCAAAGACCTCACATACTCAAGCTACTCTAGGCCATTAGATCCATCCACAGCGCCCACCGCTGTGTGTCCATAAACAGCTGATAGTGACATTAAGCCTACAGTGGTAGCGTGTCACGCACCAATCGGAAAACACGTGATCTATAATTGATTTTCTGTGAGCTTGTATTTTGCATTCTTTTTAGTTGCTTGTATAGTGGTTAAAGAGTATACATGAAATGGCCATGTCATCCCACAATTTTCATCTTCTGAAATTCTTATTTGGAATTATAAAGGGAAATTCATGTTTCAACTTGTTTTATTTTTGATGGTATTGTGCTTCCCTTTGATTCCCAAGGTTATTTTGATTTCTTCATGTCCATTTCTTGTACTGTTTGTTATGTATATTGTTTGCTGCACGCGTTTTCGTGGTAGTTGCTCAACGCTGTTGCTTGGTATGTGGTGATCGGAATCATTGCTAGTGCGTTTCGCATCGAGGAATACGGCTAGCTTTGGACACGGTGAAGTTTTAGAATTAACCGCGGGTTAGATCGACTGCTTCTCTCATAAATAACTGCGGTTTTCATTAATCTTTCTTTGTTGTATTTATGCCAACCTATCGCTTTTGCATGTTAGCCTTCCCGGTCTATTGAGACCCACGTAACTGTTGCGCACAGAAGCTCTCGGGATTCTCAACCAGACCCATACTACTATTAGCAAAATTGAAATAGGCGATTACCGTTACCCATTCTTCGTCCACCATGGTCATTTTGACCACCGAGATCACCTTCGCCAACCTCAAGTCTGCCGACCTCAGCAAATGTGCTCAACACATTCCCCACGCCAGCAAAACCAGCGGCTTCGGCGATTGCGTATCCAGAAAAGCGCTATGTGAAAATGGCAACGGAGCACACAGACGGTGAGACCAGACGTAGGGTTGTGCTAAACTCCTGTGGTCTGGTTTCAGTGAGTCACTACACATCAGTGCCATTTGTTCCCAGTGTACGAGCGACGACTGTACCAGCGTCCGAACGTTAAAGGAGGTCAGCCTGACTTTGGAGCGGGGTGCTAGAATAAGCTTGACAGTACTACTTGGCGGCACACTCTGGGACCTAAGTTCTTGCTCCGTATGGCGAGAACACTCGCCCAAGGCGACACAGTGTTGTTATTCGAAAACAGAGGGGAATGACCAAGGATGAGGAATTGAACTGACGTGGAATAGATCGGTGAATCGATGATGCGCGGTTTCGCGTGCTCGGTATCCAGCACATCGGTCGAGAGAGTCGTTGGAACATCGGTCTATAAACTGTGTGGGCATGATGCTTTCCGGTTGCCTAGGCCGAGAAAAAAGATTGACTTAGAGAACCCTACCCGGAGCCACGGGTCATAAGGACCTACCCCACAAGTCAGCATGGCGATTGACATATACCGCAACCCGTTGGACGCCGGCTACCAAGGGGAGAATTACACGGCTTTCGAGTAGGAAAAACTATTCAGGACGCCCAATGACTCCGAGTAAAGCAGCACAGAAGAATTTCCTGGACCACTGAACCTGGCGGCGATCACGAAGGTCATTGACAGCCAGGTAGCTATCGAGGTTGTTTACTGGCCCTTCTTTGCGTATTCACTTCTGGTCACCTATTAACCTTATAGGTGATCACCTTGGCTTTGACACAACGTCTTCCGAGCTCTTGTGGTATCTAACAACCAACCAGATGACCAGCACAGAATTTCGCACACTCTAGGATGCTGCAGATGATTGTCCACGATTGATTATCCTCTTCGTACACCGGCAAAGGATTGCGATCCAAAAAAAAATATTTTTGCGTACATAGTGATGCATTTGTTCTTCTAACATAGTTAACAAAAGCTTCTGCTCGTTGCTTGTCAATTTACTAAATGAAAGCATGTATACTTATGTACACATTGTAAACCAAGCAAGCAAGTTTCAAAATGTAAGGGATGAAGATGTATTAAATCTTTTTTGCTATTACTTGTGAATGTTTTTAAGCAATTTCGTCACTTGTGCAACAAAAAATGGGTTACATCCAATAAACCTAAATATGCTGCGTCTGCAATCTTTCACCTTGCAGCGCTGTCTGAATCTTTTAATGCAAACAGGAAAGTAATCAAATCTATCCTATCCGACTTCAGCAACTGGTCTCTGCAGGGTCTTCGCGTTTTGTGGCTGGACAAGTGATAGTCATAACAGTTGTTGTTGTTGTTGTTGTTGTTGTTGTTGTTGTTGGTGGTGGTGGTGGTGGTGGTGGTGGTGTGGTTGTAGAATCAGAAGTTGTGGCTGGGGTTGTGGTTGTACTTGGTATTCCCACAGGTCTTCATAGTTTTGGTGTGGTCAAGTGCCCTTTTACTAAAGTGTCCACAGCTTCACTTCTGAAATAGCGAAGGTCCAGGAGTTGCTTTCCTGGTGTATCATTTACAGTTACAATTTCGACGTCTATATACTGCAGCCATGAGTTTGCAAGTGCAAAATCCATAAAGTGAAAATTTAATTATATTGGCTGTTCCTTTGTTTTGACCTTCATTCTATACAATGGAATGAAAAAATCCAACATCTCCGCCTCCCATATTTTCATTTTACCCTGACACATTTTAGTCTGCTCACTTGAATCACTTCCTTTCTTCTGTCACCCAACCAACGTGTGCTATCCATCACTTTAATGCTCATAAAGCTGGATGCAAGAATAGTCGCCCCGCTGTTCATCTGCCTGACTACACAGATACCTGTTGGTAGCTTGCTGTCTGAATATCCTCGACCATCATCCTCATCAACAGCAGTACATCAGCCCTCTGAACGGATGCTTCGCTGCCATACAACCACAACCACCCACGGAAAGGATACTAATGATAGAGAGTAGGAAGGGGGACTTGCCGGAAAACTTTAGTGCCATAAGCGAACATACTGTCAACAACATACCGTAACGAACAGCCGGCTATCGTTCAAAGATAAGGCGGTATCAACGAGACAGCTTCCTTGCGACTTTCACTGCCTCGCGTCATAATTAGTCAATACCACGCGGCTAACAACGCCAAACACACTTTAAACAAGCAGTCCAACTAGGAGACGACAGCAGACACGCCATTGGTGCCGACTGCGAACCATGTTCTGTGACGTCCCGAGCCAAACACAAGGCGAATCACGTAGCCTTCTGCCTGGAAAGCGAAAGGGACCGACGGAATCCAGGTTGGCCCTCAATGAATTCTTTTCCCGCTGACAAGTCAACTTCTGTCTACCTCTTGTCTTGCGCCGCTCTACATTTGGTGGACAAAAGACGCTCCTCGGCAAACGGTGTTCGGGCATACGTAATACGTGCCCAAGCCTGCGCGACTTATTCAGTGCTGTCTATGTTGTTCTAATGAACCTGTCTGGTTATCAATGCCTAGCGCTCGCCTACGCACATGATCGTTGCGGACATGCTAGTGCAACTGGACGCCAGCAATGTCCCGCAGATAACAATGATCGAAGACTTGAAGGCGCTTCAGATACCTAAACCAAAGGGGCCAAGTTTCACTCCCGTAGAGTAAGACGTCGTTCACTGTGGTCTTGTAAACACGACATTTCAGACGGTGGGCAACTCCTTTCTGTCGCCAACGATGTCGCAGATTCAAGAAGGCATTTTTCGCTTTAGTAGTGCGTGAACTGACTTGAGTTCGTATGCATCCATCGTTGCTAATGCGGATGCCAAGGTGAGTGAATTGATCAGTTACCTCGAATTCATCGCTATCAATGATCAAGGGGTCACCAAGTGAGTTGTAGTCCTTTAACAGCACTTTGCACTTTGAAGGTGCACTGCGCATTCCAAATTAAGGGACTGCTCTAGAGGGGTTATTCAGAGTTGATTGCGCCGCGATATCGTCCGCGTACTCAGGATCAACTAACCTTTTCCCAGGCAGAAGCTCAATGCCTACGCACACAAGGGAACACTCCGTGATGGAGTCCACGACGAAATTGAACAAAAATGGGGAAATCGGACAATCTACTTGTCGGGGAGGCATCCTACAAATCACCGTAGACCCAGACGCAGCCTGTCGTGTTCGAGTATAGAACTGAGAACTGGTGCGAAGCAGCGAGTAGAGGTTGCTCTGTGTAGCTGCATCATTCGTCGTTTTCGGACATGAACTTTTTATTTATCGTTTCGCTCTTTGTACTTTGCCTCTGCAAATTGTTTGTCTAGTAGCATCTTGAATTTAGCCACTGTGTTCGCTTCTACTATATGCTGAGGCAGGTCGTTCCAGACATTCACCACTCTTCGTTCGAAACAGAGTTGATGGGCGACCCGCTTCAAATCCGGGACGATAAGTTTATACCGGTGTCCTCGTGTGCAGCTTGGTGTGCGCAGATGAAGTAGTTGTCTCAACATGGGGTAATCACCCAGATGTAATATTCGGTGCGTCATGATGAGGTCAACCCTCAGTCGACGATAAGATAGGGTGTATAACCCTAGTTTCTTACATCGGTCTTCGTATGACATACCTCGTAAGTTGGGAATCAGCCTGGTGGCTACATGCTGCACCCGCTCAAGCTTTTCTACTTCGCCCCGGGTGATGGGACAGTATGCGGGAGTGCCGTACTCTAGCATTGGTCGTATTATCGAGACGAAGAGGCGAGTGGCAATCTCTTCGGACCAAGTGCTAAAGCTGCGCCTGAGAGCCCAAAGCATACGAAAGCTGTTTTGGTACAGCCTATTCGTGTTGTCAATGGACTTTAGGTCGCAGCGTGAGAGTACACCGAGGTGGCGCACGAAAGGAGCGGGATGCAACGGTTGTCCAGCCACTGTGTACGTTCGGCCGTGATCATACTTACCCAACCTCATGAATTGCGACTTGGCAGGGTTGATCGGAAGGTTAACCTCTGCAGACCAAGTCGAGAGGCGGTCGAGATCCTGCTGAAGTAAATCGCATTGAGTGTGCGGATTACTCTCCACACTTTCAAGTCATCTGCGAACAAAGCACAATGTGATTGTAGTAGCTGAGGCACATCGTTTATATGGATTAGAAACAATATCGGGCCCAGTACAGTGCCTTGGGGCACGCCGCTGCTCGATGGATACCAGTCTGTTAGATGGTTGTCCACCTGGACTCTCCACTTTCGATCCACAAGGAAATTGCTGATCCATTTGTGCAGCGAACCACCAACACCGCACATCCTCAGTCTGTCAAGGAGCACTGCATGGTTAACCTTGTCAAAAGCCTTACTGAAGTCAATGTAAATGACGTCAACCGATTGGCCTTTGTTCAGCGCTTGTAACCATTCGTGCCTCGTCAACAGTAGGTTGGTGATGCACGAACGACCTTTCAGGAAACCATGCTGTGCGGAGGTTAACAGGTTTTTCGACTCGAGAAGTTTCAGAAGGCTCTTCTTCACGATCTTCTCGAGCGTCTTTGCCAAAACTGCCGTCAGGCAGATCGGCCGGTAGTTATCCACTTTGCTTGGGTTACCACCTTTCGGGATAGGCTTAACGACTGAGCATTTCCAGTCGTCCGGTAGTAGACCAGTGGATAGTGACCTGTTAAACAGTTCAGTTACAGAAGGTGCACTTATGGTCGATAATGAGGATTAGTGGGTGTATACCATCTGGCCCAGCAGGTTTCGTCCCGTCAAGATTTGTTAGAATCTTGCGTACATCCTCAATATTGCAGTCCAGGCTGTTAAGTTCGGCTGGAGCGGTGCTCGTCGAACTCATTACAGACACCTGGTCACTTGCGAATACGGAGGCGAAGTGCGTTGCCAATGCTAACGCACGATCTGTACTGGAGGTTAGAGGCTGTCCTTCTGAGCCTTCTAACACTGGGATACTAGCTATAGGTCTTAGGCGCCGCTTCACATATGCGAAGATCCTCTTGGGAGCAGTTTTTGCGGCAGTTGCAAGCTCCTCTTCGAAGCTTCTGCGTTTTCTTGTTTTCGCGTTGTTGCAGCGATTTCGCTGTACCTTGTAGGCATTGTAGTCCTCATCAGAGCCAGATAACACGAATTTGTTCCATAGTCTACGTCGCCGTCGGGCCATTTTGTTGTACTCTTTGTCAAACCAATGTGGTTTGACTGGCCCAACTTTCCGAAATTTGAGGGGCACAAATCGGGCGCACAACGATTTCACTCCCTCTTTAATGATAGCCCAACAGGTTTCAATAGATGAATCCTGTGGTAAAGACCAGTCTATCTGGCTCGCTGCTCGAATGAGGCCATTAAAGTCCGCCTTCCAATAGTTGAAGGCTGACTCTAGTGGGAGAGGATACGGTAGCGGTAGTTCTAAACTGCCTATGATCACTGAGTGGTCACTCGCTCCCAGAGGCTCTAAGACTTTAATGTTATGTACACGCTGCTCACAGCTAGTCAACAGCAGGTCTAAGGTTCACATATTTCATGGGAACACCTTTCCGCGCAAGTATTGTAAACATAATGCATCGACCGACTGAGTCGAACACACTCTGGACGTCCGGGAACACAGCTACTGTCGGTCTGCGGAATGTATGGCGCTGCTCTAGCATCTGGTGTAAAGTGAATATGTTATCTATATATCCCCGTCCTGGGCGGATAGCTGCCTGCTTTTCCGTAATCCGGGATTCCTGTTTCGTAGTTTAGCGACGAACGAGAATTTAGGCTAGTAATTTTGTCACAACTGCCGTTAGGTTAATATCTCTGTGATTAGAGCAGACAGTGCAATTGCCCTTCTTGTGTATTGCCACTATACTTCTATTCACTCCAGTTAGCCTGAACGGTCTCTTCCTTTCAAACGGGACAGGGAGGTCAGTGCCTTGCAGAGGACGTCGCCACCGTCTTTAAATATTGCAGTTAGAGGGAAGTCGGGCCAGTAGCACGAAAACGATTGACGGCTGTGATCCTGTTTCTAACCTCTGTCTCCGACGTAGGATCTAAACTAACCGTCCATGACCCGTTCTGCATCCTCTGAGTAGGAAGAGATCTGGAAGCAGCGCGCCAGCTGAACTGGTCTTGAAAGTGTTCCGTCCAACGAGCCATACCGCGTTCCTTATTGTGAGTCATGACATCTACGCTGTTTCTGATTGTCTCACTGACACCTGGTTCTCTGGGACCGGTGGTGCGAGTCAGCTGGAAGCGCTTGCGATTATTGCCTGGTGTGACTCCAATGTCATTACGGTTGTTGTCAATTTAGCTGGGAATTTTGTAAGGTTAGTAATGGGGTTGAGAGGGAAGTAAAAGGAACAGGTGGAAAAGAAAGAAAGGAGGCGCCAGCAATAACATGTTTTCACTTGTCCGCCCTGCTTTTTTCAGCAGATAGCACGATCCTTGATAAGCTGAGCGGCAGTAGATGCAAGATGTGATTAACGTTTTGGGAAATTGTCATGCTTGTATCTGGACTGAGCTACTGCTGGTGCGCCCAGACCTAGACAGAAAGACGATTAGGGTCCTCATCCAAAGCTTTTGGCTCAAAAGCCCGTCCTCAAGGCAGTGGGGAGGTGACAATGGTAAAGTTTTACAGAAATAGACGCCATCACATTTCAACCCTTCAACCTGGAGGACCGGGAGACAGACCTTTTATCTGTCCTGTAGTCATTGCCAAATCTGGTAGGAGTAGCTCTCAAGGTATTCAAGACCACCACCTCGTATAGCTCAATGAGTCAAAGAGGTGCGCAAACTGTCGTGTTGCACTAAAACCCCGTGTTGTCACGACGGGTGATTCTCGACCTTCCTTGAGAAAGTCTTCCAGATTTCAGCTGACATCTCATTAAACGGTTTATTTTCACAACACGTAGAGATCAATATAGCATTTTAATTTCCCTAATACGACTCCTCCCTGCGAAATTGTTCTTAAAATCTGCGGTTCTTCCGTCGAGGGATTCTTCCTGACAATCTCAGGTCAATTGATGCACCAACACCCATATGCTTGGTATCTGCAGGGACGCCTGTTCTTACATTTTGATAAAGTACAAAGTCGATGGTTCTTCCTAACTTGCCACATATGACACGGTTATTTACTCCAACTGGGCTTGGTTTGCTTGTAATGAATTGGTTTTCCGCAGTATTCTAGTAAATGATATTATTTGTTCATCAACCGCATTTAATTCTTCCCGAGATAGCTCTAGACAACGAGCACGTACTTCTCTGATAAGAGTCCCCACCTACCATTCTCATCATTATACACGTTAGCTAGATGCGTAAAACACCTCAGCTACTGTGCTGCAATACATAAAAGAAAAAAGTAAATAAATACAACAGTTGAATACCAGCTGAGCTACCAGCAACGGATGGGTATCGTTCCGGAAATATAGAAGTCGACTACAAAATAAATTATGATGTAACATTATATTATGCTACGAAATGAGATCCTCGTTAGAGAGGGGGTCTAGAACGGACGGGAAGGGACAAAGAAACTCACAGCATGAACGCCACTGAGGTCGGCTCCCAGCGATATCAACAAGTGTATCCAGCCGAACGTGTTCATCATCTTTCGGACCCCAACCCGAGAGCCGTGAAGCTCCAACCGAGGCCAGCTCCGAAGTGAGGGCCTTCATTGCTCTCGACCAAGTCATCACTTGGCCACCTCTTCGCTTCTTGCATCCACACCCCCGGCGTGCAAACAACGCATGTCACGGGGGTCGGTGGGCTGGCATGCTTAACACGTGGCCCAGCCATCGGAGTCTGGTGCGTGAAATAATGGCGCTGAGCGGTTCACTTCCTTTTCGCGTGCCGTAAACAAGGCGTCGAACATGCTCGTCGCTCACGCGGTCTTCCAGCCAGACGTCAGCTAAATTGCGAAGACACCGGTGGTCGAACGTAACTAGCCTCTTTGTGTCTGCCAGTCTTAGGGGCCAGGTTTCGCAACCGTACAGTAAGGTCGGACGTACTGCTGCATTGTACGCTCTTTCTTCCAGGGCGAGAGTGATGTCGCGCTGGCGCCATAAGTGGCGAAGGTTAGCAAAAGCACTTCGAGCTTTTGCTATACGGTTCGAGGTCTCATCTTCAATCCAACGGACGCTGATACAACTTCCCAGGTAGTTGGATTTTTGAACGACTTCTAGCTAATCGCCACATAGGGTCAGCGAAGTAGGCGGTCCAGGCCAATCTAGGAGGAACGCTTTGCCCTTCGATGGTGTAAGCGAAGCCCGAAACGACTGACAGGCAGTACTAATCTGTCCAGTGCAGCTTGTCACGTCTGGGAGCTGTCACAGATGAGGGCAATGTCGTCTGCATACTCCAAGTCAAAAAGTCGTTCTCCTGGGAGCAGATCCACACCTTCTAAGTCATATCCTGTAAATGCAATCTCCATGACTTTGTCAATAGCGAAGTTGAAGAGGAAAGTTGACAGCGCGCATCCTTGTCTCACACCGCTGGAGAAATTAATTGGCGACGACAGCTTGCCGTAAGCCCTCACTCTGCCTGAGCTACGCGCGTATAATGATCGGATAATATTTACATATTTCTCGGGTACACCTTTCCTGAGTAGGCAGTCCCAAAGTGCACATCGATCAACCGAATCGAACGCACCTTTGATCTCGAGGAACACGACTACGGTGGGCCGCCAATATATGTGACGGTGCTCCAACAATTGACACAAAGTGAAGATTTGATCCATCTAGCCATGACCCCGACGAAACTTGGCTTGCTCTTCGCGAATATGGCTTTCACAAGTGCCAGTCAGTCTGTGAAGGCTGACAGAGGCAAGCAATTTGGAGGCGATGGGGTTCAGACTGATTCATCTATGGTTGCAGCATGCTGAGCGGGAGCCTCCTTTGAAGATGGGAACAAAAACGGAGCGGCTCCAGTTGGTAGTTTCCTGCTTCCACAGTTTCACTAGTAACTCGTATAAATCATCCACAAAAACAGATCCCCCGAACTTGAAGAAGGCTGGAGGTAGATCACCTGGTTCCGCGGTTTTGTTTATCTTCAACAGTCCGATCTCACGTTTGACTTCTGAGCGAGAGGGCGGATCCAAAGAGAAAGCCTAGGTAGCAGAGCGATTAGTGGCCGACGAGAAATCTGACAATTTCGACCGATTAAATAGCCTTTCAAAGTGCTCAGCCCAACGCTCCAAGCGTTTCGACAAGTTGTAGATAGGCTATCCACTCTCGTCACGTATTATTTCACTAACATCAAGTCTTCTGCTGCCCGTTTCCCGTATCAGCCGGAATAACTTAGGACGGTTCCCGAGGGCAGCGGCCGTTTCCATCTCTGATGCACGATGAGACCAACAGGATTCGTGGCCTCTCTTCAGGCTAGCACGGAGTTTTGCCCGGAGCTTTTTTCGAGTTTCATTGTGTTCGCTTCCAGCCGGAATATGCCGACGAGCATCGATAAGTTCCAGAGACTGTGAAGAGACCCAATGCCCATGTTAGCGATTAGGCTCACCACATGAGGATTTGCCTGCTGCTAGTAAGGACTAGTGAATATGAGACCAGTGACCTTCAATTGTCTCCACTGAGCGCTTACTCAACTCGCATGAAACAGCGTAGTTTGATAGGCATTCAGAACAGCTGGTTTCGCCAGTTGGCTGGTGTCAATGCGCTCACAGCGTCGTCTTGGGCGTCCGCCAAAACGCATCCGCATGTCAGCACATACAAGTACATGGTTGGTGTCCGCACATGTGCTCCAAATCGAGCGACAATTCTGGACGCGGCCTCACCATCGGTAACTTATCGCAATTTGATCGATTTGCATCCATAGCTGGTTCGAGGATAGTGGGCGCCAAGTTACCCTCCCGCGAGTGCTGTGTCAGAAGTTAGTGCTCGCAAGAAATAAGTGTTGTCATGCTCACACAAATGAGGTAACCGCTCACCGTTATCATTACGGGAGCCTACACCATGCTGGCCGCCCAGATGCAGTTCATCAGTGAATAATTTGCCAACTTGAGCGTTCAGATCCCCAGCCAGCACAATAGTGTCCGAGCTTCTTCTGTGGCGAAGGTGCTCGTTCAATTGGCGATAGAAGTCTTCTTCTACCGAATCCTCGCCACACTTTGTGAGTGCATATACAGCGTTGATGGATAAACACCTGTTAGTTCCGCGCGACTTCGAAGCTTTAAACGAGCCAGCCAATCGGACCGCACACATGCGGCTAGTGGCTGGGATCCAATCAATCAGAGTAGCTTCAGCCCGGAGACTCGGCAATGCCAACATCAGCTTGGCCGATTCTCGAAGCTGCATCGCCACCGGATAGGCGCAATGAGAAAGTGCTGTTGGTGTCACCTGAATGGTATCGCAAAGTGAGCACAGAGCTCGAGTCTTGCAGGCGGGTCTCCGATAAGCAGCAGATACCGGTGGATGATATTTCGCATTTGAAAGTATCGATTTACCGTTACTATATTTGCAATTGCATTGACTCTTGTGGCCGTTTGTCAGTACATGCGGATCCTTGAAAAGCTAACATTGGCCATCGCAATTGAGAGGTTGAAAAACTTTTGCATTTCAGTAACTGATGCACTAAAACTCTTCCCAGTTCCAATCATTTGCTAAAATTGTGTGTTCTGGAAAGTTGTCGAACTTTTTTCCTCTGCAGTAGTGATGGAAATATTTTGATGGTGAGGTAAAGCCATCACTTAAACTGAAATAGCCCTGCCACTTTATGTTGCCTGGGAAGTCGCCATTTAATGCCAGCTTTCTTCGACCTCAAGATATCAGTGCCTTTATTTTGCCTAGCATAACTGCTATATTGTTCTTTTTGTTAACGGAAATTTTCCCATCTAAGTGCCAAGAACAAGGGACCGAAGGTAAATTATTTTCGATGATTCATCGTCAGACCTGTACTCTCATATGTGTAAACTAGTAATAAGCGCAACAGTGGTTTCGATCAGTTCAAATGAAATTGGTTCACTTGCTGCTCAGGGGCATAAACCAGCAACAAACCTAAGCGATAGGCGCCGGTGTAGTTGAACGACTACAGCTAGCATCAGAATCATTCGTTTTATCTGGCGGTAGCCAGTGTGCGGAGGGGCATGCCTTTCGACTTAGTGGAGGAACACTATAATATTCGAAAGGCACGAATTGGGTCGACTTCATGCCCACTATCAACAAGACCAGCCATAACAAAGCTCGGTATAGCCCCGGTACCGCCACGACGCAACCGGCCTAGAAGTTGCTCATTAGTGCGCTTCGGCAGGTGCCTCACCGTTCGACCGATGTAAGTGGCACCACAGGCGTACTCGAACTGCTACATGACCACAAAAGATCATGTCTGGCAGGATAAAAACATCTCTGAATAGGATTCATCCAGACGTTGCAGAAAATCATCCATTTTCAAACGTCTTCCCGTGTTAACTATAGTCACATTGGACATTTATTTCTGTATCTTCATAATTTTAACTCCTACAGCAGAAATGTTAATAAATAAAATACTACATGGGCAAAAAATGTAACCAAACTCGCGCAACTTCGATATACTACTACTACCGTGCCTAGATACCTGCATTTTGCCTCCAATGAAAGTGCAGTGTGAATATTTGTTTACATCAGTTTTAAAATTATTCGCCTACTACTATTCTCTTCTGAATAACAAAATACACAAATAATTAAAGTGCAATTTGCTAGTTATATGTAATGAACCTTTTCACTTAAAAACAAATAATGTTAGGAACGTAGATGAAATAAGATGCCTTACAAGTAGTGCCTTTTCCCCTGAGACGGCATTTTAAAAGTAAACATGCAAATTTCATGTAAAATCTAAACCAAATGTTCTTGATATGGACTATTGAAATCTGACCTGTCAGGTCGACAGACTTAAAGAGACTAGCTTCATTCGACCATCGCTGCTTTCGCAGCTTAGCTCATATCTGGTGGCAGAACCGCGTGAGCAATGAGCTTGTTCGGCGTCGCGTATTTGATGCAGGAAGAGCGAGTGATCCGCTCAGCACCACTATATCACACACCAGGCTCTGATGGCTAGACCACGTTTTGCGTTGTTTGGGCTTTCGGGGTCTGGATTGAAGAGAAGGAAAGGAGACCAAGCGATGGCTTGGTCAAGAGAAATGAAAACCCTCACTTCTAAGTTGGCACCTTTTGGTGCATCCCACCTACTTGGGTGGGGTCCGAAGGACGATAAACACGTTTGCTTGGAGCAGGCGCAATGGTGTCTGTGCTGTGAGTTTCTTTGTCCACCCTCCTCTCCTTTAGTTTTCCCTCCAGTCAGGAACTCCTAGCAGATTAATAGGATGCTATTTAATGATATATTACCTGATTTTTTGAAATTTTCTTAGTGTTGTTTTTACTACCCTACCTTTCTGTATTGCGGCACATTAGCAGAGGCCTTTCTCATCCTCAACTAACGTGTATTGATGATGATAATGTGGACCATCGTACCTGTTTGCGCGCAACGTGAATAGTAATTTTCTCCTTTAATCTAGCTAGTGGAAAATAATTTGGTACGCTTATGTATATACCTACAATTTGTTTACGAAGGGATTATTCATTTCACCTGCAAAGCAGACGATACTTATTTGCAGTTACCTTCGCAAGTAAGGCGTTCGCTGATCCGCAACCTGGGGACGCGCCAGGTGGCGTTTAGCCGTACCGGTGCGTTTACTTTCGGGGTAGTGTCGTTATAACAACCGCCTCCTGCGATTGTTTGAGCCACCCAGTCACCTCAGGCTCAGTCCTTCATCGGTACCTGTACCAACGGCATCCAGCTCGTCACGACATGCATCTTCCACCGTGCCTCGTCTCTTACTAGTTGGTTGTGTTAAAGCTGTTCAGCCGCCTACAATATGTTTGTTTTGCATTTCAGCTCTAAAGATCCATTACGACCAACATACGAATTAGGAAAGAAAGTCCTCGGGATCCTCGATCGGACACTTACTACACTTACCCAAGTAGTCTGTTCCCATATGTTCCTCTCTTCGATCTAACCCGCTGTTCCTGGTGAGATCTGTTGTTTTGTGCTATAAGAAGTTTCCTTTTCATTGTTTTACATAAACTTTTATTGTCTGTTGTCAGATGATGGCTTTTATGGAAGGACATTGAGCTCATTGGTTTGTGGAGAGTGGAGACAACGTTTTAACGAGGAGGGGTCGACTGACGCTAGTATACCGCATCCTTCTAGCCACCGGTGATTACCGTTCCAGATATTACAAGAGAAGGCCTGAAATTAGCTCGACAAATGTTTATTGATGGGATTTACAATTGTCCCGTGTATTGGCTGAAAAGTCGACACCGTTACGACGCGTGCTAGAATACCTTAGTATTATGTACTGGAGCAGCGTGGTTAATCCAACCACGGCGCCGCGTGTGTGTATTGGTCACGGATCAGATAAACAGAGTCAACTTGCGGTCTATTTTATTCCGTATCGAATACTTATGTGTACAGTATGATGCTAAATTTGGTTACTATTTTACACAGCATGCTCAGACGAACCGGGAGATCTCCAGACCGCCACAAGATATCAACTCAGACCCGTTTCTTCCGGTTTATTGCAAGAAGCATGTATGTCGTTGAGATTGTTTAATCCTCAGAGGGCCGGAGCAGTTGCAATACAACAGTACGGTCTTGCGACCCTAGATTTGAAACTCCTTAGTATGTGCATAGTCAACAGTCTCCTGCAGACTATTACTATTGTTAACAGCGAATTTAGGGCCTCATTGGTTTAGATAGCTTCCAGTTATGGTATCGTATCAAGCTCTCTATGCTAAGCTGGAAAAAACAAGGGTAGTTGTTTTGCAAATCAACCCTATAGTATGCGCTCGGTAAATATGGGATCTACACGACAGCATTGACATTCCAGGGAGTCGAAAAAGATCACGAATATCTGTGATAAACTGAGCAATGTTTATCGATTTTTCATTCGGAGCACATTGGTGCTTTGAAAGCAGAAATGCAGCTGGTAACCCATGTTCAAGAATTTACCGCACATGAGGAGTGAGCAAGGGCCTTGAGGTTTTCGTTGTCATTCGGCAGACTACTTTTAAGGCACAGCACATCCCAGTCACTCCCATAACTTTTGGGTGATCTCAAAATACGATCACCGTGGCTCGGCGGGACTTCGTTCATCACGTACATGTACATGTTCTCTGTCGGTTCGGCCGATGTAACCGGCTCCTCATCTACAGGTAGCTTGGTAAATACAGTATGAATTGGCACTAACAGGTTGTCGTTGGGGGACAGCTCTTTCATTACTCTGGTCGATAAGGACAGTTTCTGCAACATACTAAGTCTTTTGGACTGCAGAAATTATGCGCTTCTTTGTCCTCGCATGGGCTAAATGTAGTCCTTTTTCTTAGCAATTGTGGAGACTTTTCCTTACACTCACCTGGCTGTTTCACGATAAATCTACTTGTATAAACATTTTTAGCAGCGTACCCTTGAGCAATTTCATCTCGTCATCCAGACTATCAGCAGTGCATATTTTTCGCATGGTTCACTAGGGTTTTAACTAACGTCGGTTTGTACCGCATTGGGGAGAAGCTGGTAACGTGTAGGTACTGCCCGGCAAAGTCGGTTTTCAGTTTGCCACTGTCATGATGAATCTGTCTACTCTTCAGCAAATCAACACGTCCAAATATGGGAGTTACTTGTTTTTGCTGCTCGATACGACTGTTCCCATGGAGGTCACAGTTACAGGTAAATCCGGACACGGATGCCACTAATCAAACTCTTCGCTGTAGGTTTATTTAGAGGATTCGCTTACTCCGCGATAGTCTTCACAAGTAATTACACATAAAAAGCATCGTCAGCTATGAAATTGGTCGGTCAATTGAGTCCAGTATAAAGTCGTACGGTCTTTGCACTTTGCCCGGGGACGTGATACTACTCGGTTGGCCAGACCGAAGCAGGGAGTTGACTTAGTAGATACCAACCCCGAGCCTACTCACAAGGCAGCCCAGCGAATTCAGGGAATCGCGCTCATTGTAAGCCGATAAATGATTTGCTTAGTTCGTACGCCTTTCGTTTGTTGGGTTACCAAACAGCTTGTATATACTCCACGATTTCAGCAGGAGACTACTGAAATACGATGCTTCACTGGTATGAAGCAAACAGCACCGACATTATTTATTGGTGGGTCGCATCCACCGCGTTGTTTGTTCTTGAACATATGTTAATGGATTTTTCCAGCCAGAACGCTTGCCAGGCAGAAACCCATCACTTTCTGCGACACTGCTGGAAAACCCGAATCACGCAATTGGCACCACTGGGAGGTTGTCCGGAGAGCCAGCTTCTTCGATCCACCACGTTTCGACGTTCAGAAATGGTAGTCGGTGCTACTTGCTTTCTGTGGGACACGATTGATACGACTTGAAACCCCACAATTGACTCTTCCGTTGCATCTCTCTTTCTGCTCATGACCTTTTCGTGGCCTTCCTATCACTTCTTTCTCTGTACACCGCAACCCACCAACTGCTGCTGGACTTATTCGATGTCAAATGGATTCTGATCCCCGGACTGGAATTTCAACTTCATTAGAACTTACTTAGACAAATTCTGCTCCTATGGTACCGTTGTTGACTTCCTACTGCTTTGTCGCTTGGTATTTGGACCACAGACCTTGGCTGAGGGCCTCAACAGTTTCCTTTCTCAGACTTAGGGTGGCGTTGAAGATGATGTGGTAGTAGATAGGGAATGACAATCCTGCGGCACATGAACTTTAGCCCCTTCCTTCCTGTAGGACAGTCATTTGCACAATGCATGCGTCGCACTGCATGGCTGACTGCTGCTTCTGCTTTCAGTTTACTTTTTGTGTGGAACTACCGTTTGTTTCTGTTGTAACGCTTCTGCTTTACCTCTGCTCTCTGCCACTGACGACTGTTGTACTTTTGCTAGCTGCCCTATGAGACTGCGACTGTCTGACTGATCAGTCACGCACCCAGCAAACCGACGGAATACAAAAGGCCAGAACTAGGTAGACAGAGAGACGTATTGTATGAGAGCAGGGCGCACTAAATAGGTTGTGGACAACTGCTTACATGATACTATTAGAGATGCTAATTGATGTTAATTAATACAACTCAAATGGCTCAAGTTCATGACCCAACTTGCCGCCGATTCCACATCGATTCGCATTTTGATCTGTACTCGAGTTAGATCTCTAGTTGTAGATCGATCCGCTTCTACGCCACTGCTCTCGGCTTGATCGCTGGCTGTAAGCTTTCTCTCCGTAACAGTTTCCCCCTTGGATGATCAATCCTGTAGTGACTCAGGCTTGGTACTTCTACGTACTGTGTTCGAGTCTTCGCTCTTACATGGGTTCGAGAGCCCATGCATTATCTCCTCTTGCGTACAACCGCTTACGGTACAGTGACATTGAAGCATTAGCATTTGCTACTGGTCTGCTGCTGCCACCCTCATTTGCAAACCACCGATAGTTTGTCGTGTGCATATTTTGCCGCACGTGGTGTCACCAGTACCCCGGCACATTTTGCCGGTGCTTCACTGCCACGCGACCACCCACACTCGAGCGTGACCTGCGTACACCGCTTGGTTACCCACGCCTACGCGGATTCGAACCGGCGATCTACAAACTGCAATGCATACGCATAGTCCTTTCGGCTACCGGCTGAGATAACTATTGCCTCCCGCAGGTAGGGTTTACTTACATGAAACTACTATCCTCTGCTCATGTGTAACCGGATTCCGCCTAGTGGCGCCTCAACCTAGGCACTCATTCAGCCTTTGAACTAGCAAAGTATTCGCGGAACTTTGTTGTATCGGAAAAGTTAGTATGTTACTCCGTGTTTTTCTTAGCTAAATGCAACAAACATTGAGACAGTGGAATAGGTAGCGCTTGAAACCACCAATGACTTTATCGGCTTTACCCACCTGAACGTAGCCCACTTTTGCATGATGGCAATACTGTTGCAAAACACATGGTCCAAATGATAATATGATACCTGCAAACATTGACTTTCTCACCACATATCGACCCACCTGTCACGCGTTTCTGGCTTCGGAAGCCCACTTTTCTCTAAAGTTTATGGATAACTCTGTTACCGACAGGTACTGCTTCCATAACCTACTTGAAACAGGAACTTGCGGTTTCTTACGCCTTCATCTGGACAACACTCAATATCCATCCGCTTCCTCAGTGGCGGTTCCAGTGATCGAAATGACCAAGTTCACTTCAGTACGAATCACTGTCTGAATTGAGCGGGCAACACTCAGTTCCTAGCGATCGAATTGACTGAGGTTCATTCTAGTGGGAATCGCGGTCCACATTGAAACTGCGCGTCGCAATCCGACTATACAACATTTGTTTCAAAATGCCCCTACAATCAGTCCTTAACCGTTGTGCCGAACATTGTAGTCGTGAGCCGGCGGCTTAGAAGTGGTGGTTCTGATTACCATCTTAAAGGTCCCGGATTCGACTCCTGATTAGTAAACATCTTCTCCCCCGTCACAGCGTTTTACCTCTTCCTCTTCACCTAGCGCAGTCATCATACACTCATTCTACTCGGATTAACTCCCCATGTTCACTGGGCATATTTTTACGGAATTATTTCCTACCGAACGGGATTTGTGCTACTCAAGTATTCTGAGCACGCTTCGTGCTTTTATCCAGATGAGCCACCCTGTTATTTTTAAACAGTTTTCACTGGTGCGACACTGCGATCGATCAAGGTTTCTCCGCACTATCTGATGGTCCTAGAATTACTTCCACAGGATCAGTTCTAATGAAGCTACCACTCAATCGGTGGTTTCCATTGCATTCGCCCATCGCCGGCACTTGTCCCTGACATACATTCACTACAAGCCAATTCCAATGGGTTTGCCTTACATTAACCAATGTGGACCAACAATCTAGCCACACTCCTCGTATGTATGTCCTCGTCGTGATACACTCACCTACGGTAACCGACGTCGAGTGTGCGCCTGGGACAAAGAACGCTATGATCACTCGCCCTCTACCTCACGTGACCAAACAAGTGGAGTG